GAGAGAGAGAGAGAGAGAGAGAGAGAGAGAGAGAGAGAGAGAGAGAGAGAGAGAGAGAGAGAGAGAGAGAGAGAGAGAGAGAGAGAGAGAGAGAGAGAGGAGAATGGAGGGGGAGGAGGAGAGCGGCGCAAGCGCGCCAGCCGGTCCGGTCGATCGCGACCATGACGGCGCCGCGGTAGCCGAGGCAGGGGTGGAAGGTCCTCCCGCCGTCGGTCGACTCGTACAGCGCGCGGTTGGACGCGTTGTTGACGAGGAGGTGGTCCGCGTCGTTTGGGTCCATCGCCATCGACTACAGAAGCATGCAGCGAAAGTCGGGAGCCTCGCGAGGGTTTGCACGGCTACTAAGCACCGCGGCCAAGGACTGGCTGATGTCGAGTGCTAGCAGTGATGCTAGATCGTCAAGTCTTGCTACTACCGGAGTACCGCGGAAAGGACGATTGGTGTCGAGCGCTAGCAGTGATGCGGGCTCGTCCGGTCTTTAGCGGCGCGGGCCTGGCACGGCTGGTCGGGCTGCACCTCCCACGCGGCCGCCGTCGCGTTGAGGACTGTCGCGACGTGCAGCACGCCACGCCCGCCCACCTGATCACAGCATTCCGTACCGCAGTGGTGGAGGGTGGAGATGGTGGAGATGGTGGAGAGGGGTGGAGAGGGTGGAGGGGGATGGAGAGGGTGGAGAGGGTGGAGAGGGTGGAGAGGGTGGAGAGGAGGCGAGGGACGCAAGAGCGGATGCATTGGTACAGCTCTGCTTCGCTCGGAGGCGGAGTGACTCTATCAGCGTGGGGCGTCTCCTCTGAAAGAGCAGACCGCGCGTGAAGGAGACCGCTCTCACTGCCACTCTCTACGTGTCCGTTCTCGGAGTGTCCGGCGGCGCTCACCCAAAGGCAGCCGCCCACGACCGAGGAGGAGAGGAGCTGCCCCGCGCGGTAGTCGGAGATGCTCACTCGGTTCGTCCGCCAGGCGCTCGAGCCTGCTGGCGAGCGGATCAGTCGCCACGCCTGCATGCGCGGCGGCCTCAGTACTCAAACTCTGAAGGGACCGCACCGTGGTTGAGTTTATTGGAACCTCGCGGGCGAGCGGCGTCTCCACGAGCGGCACGTTGCCAAGCCCGGCGTTGGTTCCCACGAAGAGGTGCGGGGCGCCGCCGATGCTGCCGTTCCGGAAGCTGTTGGCCACGCCCCAGCCGCGAGTCTGCGCGATGTGAGTCCAGCTGCCGCCGCTGTCGAGCGTTTCGTACACGCCCGAGGGAGTGCCCGCCACGACGTGCTCGCCGTGCTGGTCGACAATGTAGAGGCCGTGGATGCGCGTGTCTGCGAGCCCACGGTTCACCTTGACCCAGTGCCGGCCAAAGTCAATCGACTTGAGGACACCAGAGCTGGCAGCGTTGTTGTTTCCGCCCGTGTAGATGACATCGGGGTTGGCCGCCGCCGCGACCACCGGCTGCACCGTGCCAGCCTCACCGCCGTCTGGAGTGATGGAGTCGCCGATGTTGCTGGGACCCACGGTCGTCCATGGCGTGTGCGAGGCGGGCGGAAGAGGAGCCGAAGGCGAGGCGCCGGTCCGGCGGTCAGAGTAGCTTGAGGCGCCGTCGAGCGAGAGTAGAGCCGTCAGGATGCGGAGGGTGTGCGCAGAGGCGGGCATCGAGCGGTGATGGTTCCGTGCGCGATTTCTTTTTTACGGTTGTTCTCGAGGAGAGTTGAGACTGCTTGCATACACTCATACATTGGATTGTCATTGCCTGTGAGTGCGAGATAAGGCTGGCTGCTGGCGGCTAGCCCCTGAGGAGAGTGACCAGAGACACCTCACATGACCCCACACACGGTCTAGTCCGGCCTCGAGGTCGGCGGAGATTGCTAGAGGACGAGCAAGCCTGCTCTAGCCTCGCATATTACCTCCTGTCGTCTGTTGTGATGTTGTGCCCTTGTTTGTTTCTCTTGGCACCTTGGAGTGCTGGGGGGGGCGACAGGAGGAATGTGGCACTGAGTTATGTGTACGCCAACTCAGGGTGTGTGGCAGCCGGCTGGCTGTGTGTCTTGTGAGCTTGTTTGTGTCTGTGTGTCGTTCGTGCGTGTCGTCATCATCTGTCTCGCGTCCACCCATACCGCGCTGGTGTCCAGTCCGAGCCTGGCTGTTCTTCACCTTTCTACCTACCTACCTAGTTGAGAGAGAGCCCGCCAATGGCAGTTATCCGTTATTGCGGACGTCGCCGCGGCTCGCCTCTGCCGCGGCGGCTGCTGCGCGCACGCGGCGGCGCCGCTCTCGAGAGAGACGGCTGGCGACGCGGCTCGCCGCCGACGTACGGTGCGCTCGTCCGACGGTCCGCAGCGTGGCGTGCGCGGCGCTGAGCGCCGCTCTGCGAGCGCTTCTGCGCCTGCACTGCCTGTCTCTGTTGCTGCTGGTGGTGGTGGTGCTGCTGCTGGTGGTGCAGATGATGCTGCTGGCGCGGCGCGGCTCTGCGACTGGGCTCGACGCGCGCGTCGCGAGCGTCCGACGCGGCGGGCGGCGTCGGGCAGGTGCGCTTCTCTCTCGGGTGGTGGTGGTGGTGCTGCTGCTGCTGCTGGTGGTGGAGATGCTGCTGCTGGTGCGGCTCGGCTCTCCGACTCGACTCGCCGCGGGCGTGGCGGGCATCTGACGCGGCGGGCGGCGTCGCGGCGGCAGCGATCGCGGCTCGACGGTGGAGGTGGAGGCTGGTGGCTGTGGTGGACTTTGAGTTTATTTAATGATGGACTACGAGGACTGGGGGGTCAACCGGGAGGCAGGGGGTCAACCAGGCGACGGAGGACCGTGGGCCATCGCGGGGACCAGCTTGTCCGGAGGGCGGGCTGGGTAGATCCGGATGGTCTCACGCCGGTGGGTGGCACCGAGGCGTCTGGGACGCTCAGCTCTACCTTAAGCTCCTGAGGGGCGCGTGGTTGTAACCACGTAGTAGGACTACAGCCCACCACAGACACCCTCCCCCACTCCTCACGTGTGTTCACACCCTCACCCTCTCCTCTCTCCTCTCTCTCTCTCTCTCTCTCCTCTCTCTCCTCTTGTCTGTGCTGTCTGCCTGACTCAGGCACTCAATCTGCCGATGCGTGATTGTGTGTGGGCTGCTCCGAGGGGGCCCTCTGTGCGATCCGACGGGTAGGGGGGCTGTGCCCGGGCGGTGTCCGGTGTGGAGTCCCCTTCTGATCCCGCCTGGGATGTTGGGTGTGAGGTTGTGGCGGCTTCGGTCCCAAGGGGGGGAGCTGATCCCACTCAATAACCAACTCTCAGGGGCAGTAGGTGGGCGAGCCTCGAGCGCGCTCATCTCGATCGTCAAGACGTCGCTACGCGCGGTCTTCCGCGGGGGGAGCTGCGTCGACGGGTGCGGGACCGCGGCGCAGCCAGTGCCGCGGCGAGGCCTCCGGCTGTTTGCGGCGGGCGGCTTGCTGCTCGCTGCATGGCGAAAAACTCGTCTCGCCACACGCCAAGGGCTTATGCTCTGGCGAGACGTGAGGCTCATGCGCCCAGGAGGGGAGGGGGCATGTGTAACGACACTGCTAGAGATGCCTTTCGGGGCCCAGAGATAAAACTTCTGTGATGCCATGCGTGACCTAGTAGTGTCCCCAGCTATGGGCGTGTCCACGTTGGAGCCAGGTGTGGTGTGGGCGCGAGAATAGCTCCGCCGTTCATGGAGGCAACCGATGCGAGTCGACTGGTGTGTGTCGTCGTGGTTTCGTATCAAGAATTCTCTCTCTCTCTCTCTTCTCGAGGTTCTCGAGGTGGATATCCTTTGGCCGCGTTGGGTAGCGAGGATTGGTGTAACCCGAGCCACGGAGGCGTGTTTACGGTTGTTTCTTTTTACTTGGGCTAGTGGACTCCAGAGACAACAACTTGGCGCACCTCACTGGAACTTACGGTTTGACCCAGCTCAACACCGACCTGACTCGTCTTGTGCTGCTGTTCACAGCCTTGTTATTGAGAAGAAAATACGTCCTATGGCGCTGTGCGCTGGTCTGTGATTCACAGCCAGCAACAATGAAGAAAAAAATGTGCTTTCCTGTCCATGATCACCAAGCTGCACATACAGAACCCTTACTCAATCCACATCCCCCGCACATAGAGACCCACTCACTCTGTGCGTGCTTGCTGGACCAACTGCTGCAGGCAACGAGGCCACTTGCTAACGCCCACCGTCTCTCTATCCGGGAGACCACACACAGGCAGGAGCGAGATGGTGGTGAGAAGACGAAGAACGGGAGAGGGTGAGGATTCGCGACTTGCGGCGAGGAGGGCCAATGAGAGAGAGGTCCTCACAACACGGCTGAGGACCTCTCGTTACTGAGGACCTCTTTGTTTTTGGAGTTTTGAGATACCCATCCATGGAAACACATTAATTTTTTCAAAGTGCGTTTGCTCTCGCCGGTGTTCAGCTAGTCAGAGAGAGATGTTTGCTAGTCAGTTGCATTTGCAAACATCCACGTCTGCAGCATCTCTCTTCCTCTCTTGAGAGCTCTTGTTGGTGGAGAGACGTTTGAAAACGCATGTGAGTGTTAGAGTTGTTTTTGTTTTGCGCACTGCAGGCGCCGCCTCTTTGGGGCGCGCGCCGCCGCGGCCCTCGCCGCCAGCCGCTGCCCCGGACGGCGGGATTCTGAAAGATAGTACAGATTACGCAGACAGCATAGGTGCACGTATGTGCCACGCATATCCCTCTGATCTCTTCTTCTTTCTTCACATATCCCTCTGATCTCTTCTTCTTTCTTTTGCTAGCTAGCTAGCCTCCTTCCTCCCACCCTTCCAACTATGACGGAGCGCAAGGGCCCCCTTCGTTGCGCGCTCTCTCCCTCACCCCTCTCCCCTTTCGCCGACGGTCCAGCACATCTCGTCCCGCGTCCGGAACGACGCATCCAACACGTCTTGACGCCGTCCTTGTAAGGGTGCCGAGATTGCATCCCTCGGCTTCTCGCGTGCCATCCGACCAACTCCTTTTCCAGCCGCTCTGTGCTCTGCTTTTCGTGGTGGCTCCGTTCGCGTGTTCCGTCACTCTGCGAGTTTGCGTTGGCGCCATGGGCGGCACCTGCAGCCGCGTCGACGAGCAGCCTCGTGCTCCGCCCGTCTCGCCCAAGCCAATCTACCGCGGTGGCCTCTCCGTCGACATCCCTTGCGAGACGGCGGTGGCGGGCTCTCCGGCCCTCTCGCAAGGCAGCATACCGAGCTCGTCGAGCCCGACGAGTCATCCGTCCATGTACCAGCGACGAGTCTTTCCCGCCGAACTGCGGGAGGAGTGGCTCGAGGTGCTCAGTGTGGACGACTGCAGCCGGCGAAGCGCTCGCGCCTCGAGGCTGCTCGCAGCGAGGCCCGAGGTGGTGCGCGGTTCGCCGTGGTGGTGGACCGACGACACCGGCTCGCTGCTGCACGTCGCAGCCGAGCGCGGCGACGCGTCCCTCCTCCGCGTCATCCTCGACGCCGGTGCTCCGGACCTCCCGCTCGCGCTCGACGCCGACGGCCAGGCGGCTCTGCACGTCGCGGTAGCGAACGGGCACCTCGACGCGGCGCGGGTGCTGGTGGAGGTGGCGGCGGCGCAGAGCGGCGGCTGCACCGCGCTCACCCTCCCCGACAAGTACCGCATGACGCCCTTCCACCTCGCGTGCGAGAATGGGGACGTTGCGATGGCCGGCGTCCTTAGAAGGCGGAAGTCGTGTTCGTGTATCCCAACATGCGCTCGAGAGAACACGCACTCAGCTCGACCGTAGTCCGCTGCATTCCGCTGTATTCGTAGCCCCTCGTATCCACGCGGTGCTCTGAGCACACTGCACAATACCGCATCCCCGCCCCGATGTTGGCGTAATCCGCATAGGCCTCCTTCCTGCTCGAGCAGCTCGCCTTGCTGCCTGGTCTCTCGACGCAGGCACCGCACGCACGCACGCCACGCGAGAGCGTAGCAATCCCAACGAGGTTCTCACTCGTGGACAGCACAGTTGCCACCCTTGAGACATGGCACCGAGGCCCGCTTTCTCTGTCTCGGGACGCAAGACACGGGCGCAGGCCTGTTTTCTGCCAGGGGCGGCACTTCCCATCGCCCCCTCCCCCCCCCCCCCCGCAGGAGGTGGCCGAGCTGCGGCGCGGCTCGGCCAACTTTCTGGCGCAGCGCGGGCAGCACGCAAGGGTGGTCGCGCTGCTCGATTCGGTGCGTTCGCGCTTGTCCGAGGTTTCTTTCCTACCGCGCCGCGAGATGTCTTACTGCCGAGCTTTCTTTTTTACGGCGGCGTGTTTTCTTTCTTAGGTGTCCTTCCTCACGCAGCGCTCTCGCGACTCTTGGGTCTCGGCCATCTCGCCGCCGAGGACCCCTGGCGGCGACTCGCTCAACTCGTCGATGGGCGGCTCGTTTCACTCGCGGTGGGTGGAGGGGCCGCAGGGAGGCGGCGAGGCGGAGGCGGCGAAGCGGGGGCCCCCCGCGCTCTCCCCCCGCGAGCGGTCGCACTCCCCTTCGCGCCGCTCCGCCTCTCCGCCCCGCGCGGCTCGCTCTCCCCCGCCCGCGAGGGCGGCCGGCGGCCTCTCGGCCGGCGACGGCCTCGGGAGCGGCGGCAGCGCGGCCTTCTCGCTGCTGCGGAGCAACTCGAGCTTTGGCGCAGACTCGCCGAGACACGCCGGGATTGGCCGAGATTGGCAGCCCCTGGAGAGGGGCTCTTACGTGCTCCGCCGCACATCGACACACCCGTCGTTTCCAGATATGGGGAGATATGGGGAGATATGGGGAGACATGTCTGCGTCGAGCGCGTTGGTCCATCTCCCCGCCCTGCTTCTCGGAGCCTTCTCGGAGCCTTCTCGGAGCCGTCCCCGTAGGCGCCCTCACCAAGGGCTCCTCCCTGCCGACCATCGTCTCTGGCCGCAACTCCTCGCAGCGCCCCCGCTCCGACGCCTCCGACGGCGACCACAACTCCGCCTCCCCCTCGCCCGTCCCCGCCGCAGCTTGCCTCAGCCTGTCCCTCGACGGGACGGCGCCGCCGCTCCTGCCGGCCTTGCCGCCGACGGCCGAGGCGCTGAGTCGACTCGAGGAGGAGACCACCCGCCCCGCGCGGCGGCTCGCGTTTCGCTAGCGCGGCGATGGCGCATGCACTACATGGCGAGGAGGGGTAAGGTACTTAGAGGCAGAGGGGGGGCTCTCAGTCTAAGACACCATATGTGCGCCGAAAAGGGGGAGTGTCTCGCGGAAAAATATCGAGTGTCCCCGTTACAACTTTGACGTTTGGTAACCCCCGCGCATACAAGAAACACCTAATCACCCTAAAAGGTGGCCGTAATACGGCGCTATCTCGGCGCGAAAAAGCAAGAACAAAAAGTACTGTCTACTGAGCTCTCTCTCTCTGACTCTGTGTCTCTCAACCGACATCATCTCAAGGGTGCGGCCGGATGGTGCGTATGGACTCAAGCCAGCGTAGTGCCTCGACGGCCACTTCGGGGCCTAGCTCGTCGTCGAAAAGGATGCCTGGGGATATGAACAGTGGCGGTGAGGACAAGGTGAGGGCGGTGGCGCTGCGGCGGAACCGGAATGAGACGGCGGTGGCGGTGAGCGGGTAGGAAAGGCGAGGCCGGGACGGTGGTGCGATCGCGCACCAAACTTGTGCGGGCCGGGCTCGTTGCACGACACCCCCTCCGTCCGCGTGTCGACCGGCACCAGCCGCGTGTTTGGCGCCGTGGCGACCTTCACGATGTCCTCGAGCGCAGAGTAGGGCACGAGCGGGTCGTCGCTCGCGCCAACGACGAGCAGCGGGTGCGAGAGGCCCATCGTGAATGACCTGCCTGTCTGCAGCTCAAACTTTCGCCTCGCCAGGTCGCGCACGACGCGGTCAGCGAGGTTGTGGGCGTGGAGGTGCAGCAGCCGTTCTTGCCACTGACTTTCGCTTCGCCCGACGCTTTTCTCGTGAACAGGCGTATGCCCTCGAACGACGCCATTCGCGGGTCTCCCATGCTGCTCTGGCATGCGTATGTGGAGGATGAGACAGCCAACGGGAGCGGCGTGTGACTTTGATTTCGTAGATGACTGTGTGACTGATCGGCGACCTTTCACCTATCTAGATATGCACCCAAAGCGAAAAGGCGAGTCAGGCAGGACGCCCGAGTGGAAGTCAAGCGATTACAGGCAAATACTACAACACAGCTCACCGAGTCTCGGCTCGGAAAACTCTCTCGGCTCGGGGACAAAGTTTCCGCAAGTGTTGACCGGGATTGCCCGCCGAAATCCTGTCCTGCCCGACCGACGGCGTTACGAATCAAGTTGGTGCCGGGGTGTGGGCTTCAACGTTTTTCAATCTGACGTATTGTATCCCAACTATCACGCACACGACAGCCGCTTGACATGTGCGACAGAGTATGGCCCGCGACTGTTCTTCAGCCTCCCTCTCTATACCTCCCTAGAGGGCGCCCTGGCAGTCACTCCGCTCCAGCCCGGGGCACCCGTCTGCGCACGGAGAGCACTCACAGAAGCCACACAGCGCGGCAGTGGCTCTCTCTGCCGGCTGCGGCGCGGCGGCGCTCTCCGGCGGCGGCCGCGCGTTGGCGCGTTCCGCCGGCGGCGGCCCGGCGCGGTCAGCAAGCCGCGGCGGCGCGGCGGCGGCGCGAGGTCGATTGCGTATCCTTCCCGAGGCGGAGAGTTGCTCCCAAGTGAAGTACCGCACCTGACGGAAGGGGAGGGGAAGGTCAGGGGAACTTCTCCACACACGCACACAGCGGTGGTGGGGCAAGGGCCAGGCGACCCTCGCGACTCCACGTCTAGACAGACAAGCGCCCCACGGCAGTAAACGTGCACGGCCCAGTGCGCGTGGGTGAGCAACTCTGCCCCTCCCTCCCGACAAACCTGCGAAGACGTAGAGCGCACCCGCCCTGGCAATGCGTCTCGGGTGATCTGATCTCGGGCCATCTCGGGTCGCCGGGGTCATCTCGGGAGAATCTCGGGATAATCTCGCGCGCCGGAGTCGGCTTGTGCGGCCGGTCGAGTATGCCAACCTGGTAGGCCTACGTGAAGGACACACAGTGGGGGCGTTGAAGCGACATCAGAGCGTGCAAACTTCGCGGGCCATGAGTCTACTGCCATCGACAGATCTGAACCAGCTCAATGCAGCCAGCCGGAATACAGAGATTGGTGATTCGCATCTAGGGCTGCGGACGTGGAGCTCTCGAAAGCCCCTCGCGTCGTGCGTCGAGTTGAAATCGATACTGCAGTCCGTCCCCATCGCCGAGAGGAGCGCGAGCAGCGTGCTGACCTTCCCGCTACCGACCCAGCCCTCGTGGTGTTGGACGTGCGCCGTCATGTCGTACACCTGTGCAACCCGCGTGGTGCGAGTGTGGTGTGAGTGGAGCGCGCATGCCGTGCCACTAGAATACGCAAACAGCGATGCCTTGTCCGACACCACGATCCACGCATCGTCGCTGTAGCAGTGGCGCGCCACCTCTGCCATGGTGAACACCGGCCACGGCTTGCTCCGCCGCCTGTCGCGCTCGGCGGCCAGCGCCTCGACCTTGCCGACGGCGTCTGTCATTGCCAACCGTGAGGTGGGAAGGGGGTCGGCGAGCGCGCTGTGGCTGGCAAAAAGAATTTTAACCGTCTTACGACACGATTCACGCGACAGGCGAGGCGCAAAAAGAATTTTTAGCGCTCTCGTTGTTGTTGCGCCCTCTGTTGTCAAGAGAGAGAGAGAGAGAGATCTTCTGTTGTAAAGGGACAAAAAAAAACCGCCCCCGCGAAGCCGCCCCGGGGTTTGGCTGGCGCTCTCGTTCTAGCGCTGCTGTAAAGGGATGTCCACCGGCTGCTGCAACGAGGAGCAGCAGTACTTCCTGGTCACCATATTTGCGTACTCTGGCGCCGTCCTCCTGCTCTGGCGCGCCCTCGTCTTCAAGCCGTTCAAGCTCTTTGCGGTTGCTCTGCACGAGTTTTGCCACGCGGCGGCAGCCGCTGCGCTCTGCAATCGCGTGACCGGCATCGAGGTCTCCTGGGACGAGGGCGGGCTCGCCTCGTACAAGATCCCGACGAACCGGGTGCGGTGCGTACGTGCTTTCGTTCTGCCCGCCGGCTACGTCGGGTCGACGTGCTCGGGCTGCGTGCTTGTCATTGCCAGCGCCTTCACGGTGGGGTCGCAGGTGTGCGGCATCCTGCTGGCCGCCGCGTGCGCCATCATCGCCGTGTACGCCGCCTTTGGCCGTGCTGCCTCGACAAAGGAGCGCGTCCTTCTCTTTGGCGTGAGTGCGGCCTTTGGAGTGACCTCGGCCGGGCTCACCGCCATCTCCTTTGTGGGCGAGGGGGGCGGAGAAGGGGGAGGGGGCGGGGGCAAGGGCGGCGGCGGAGGAGGCGAGACCGACTTTGATGCGGCGACCTGGCCACTCGAGCTGTTCCTGCTGCTGGTCGGGACGGTCAACATGATCTACTGCACGTATGACATATACGATGACACCGTCCGGCGCAAGGTGGCGAGATTACCCGAGATGCACTGAGATTGACCGAGATGGCCCGAGATTGACCGAGATGGCCCGTGTGGGCACCAGGTCGAGCGCTCGGACGCGTATCAGTTCGCCGAGCTCTACCGCTCGCTCGGCTTCCAGCCGCGGTGCGTCGGCTTTGTCTGGTTCTGCGTCGCCCTGGCCGCCTGCGTCGCCGCCGTCGCAGGCCACACGATCTGCGTGGGCGAGGGCGGCGGCGGCAAGGGCTCGAACGGGCCGCCTTGTATCGGATGCCTTCCGTGGTGGCGGCTCGCGCCCCCCAGATGCGGACTATCTCCCCATATCTCCCCATATCTCCCCATATCTCCCCGCATCTCCCCGCAGCAACAGGCCTCTAGAAGCGAACGATCTCCCCATATCTCCCCGCATCTCCCCGCATTTCCCCACATCTGCTCAAATCGCCCCAGCGCTCTTTAGATGCGAACACATGTTCACCTACTGGTGTATTCAAACCACAGGCTCGCACCGGCGCTGGCGCTGCTGCTCTGCGCGCTGATCCTGCGCGGCCTCGACGCGTACGGCGTCAGGGTCGGGGGCTGCTGCGAGGCGGCGCATCGTCAGCCATCGAGGCCGGTCGGCGGCGCCAAGCGGGCGCCGGTTGCCCCGGCGTCGTAAACAGAGGTCGGCCACGAGCCTCCTGCAGGCAGAGTCCTGTCGCACAGCTTTGCGGGCGTGCTGGTGCGAGTGGAATCGGTGCGCGGAGTAACACCCGCGCGGTGGGTGCCCTGTGGCCTCTCCTTCGCTCCCTCCGCTGCACGTGCGTCAGAGAGTGCATCAGCCCTGTGAGTGAATCACCTGTGCATAAGTCGAGTACGTGTAAGTCGAGTACTACCCTCGCGGCTTCAATCTTCAAAGGATATTTATGCATCTCACCGCCATCCCGGCCTTTCAAGTCTGTGCGGCGCGTGCCGCGTCCTCTCCCATACGGTATCATGTTCATGTGAGAGCCGCATAAATTGTACACTGTCATGGGAGAGGGGGTGAGTATCACAAAGATCGCAAGGGCGGGGGCCTGTTCCTTTTTACCCATCTCACAGTAGAGAGGTGTCCGTTTATTTATTTATGGGGGTGAGTATTCTTGAGTAATAATATTACGATGAAGATATGAGTACAATGCGACTTTGGTTCACCTTGCTTTTCAAGCAACATTTAAAACGGCGCACGTGAAGACACAACTCCACCAGTACTTACACATCACACACACTGGTTCGATCGAGTCCCCCTCCGCGTCTCATGTCTGGTGTGAGCGTCGCTCCCCCGTCTCCGTATTTTGTCGTGTCATCAAATAGCCCGCGCCGAAGGCCAGCACAGCCGTCAACTGCTCCCTGATACCCTGAAGGACGAGAAACTCGCGCCCGCCAAGAGGTCCTCACGACGCCACAAGAGGCCTCACGCCAAGAGGTCCTCACGCCGAGAGGTCCTCAGTCACGCCGAGAGGTCCTCAGTCACGCCGAGATGTCCTCAAAGATCCGCGGATGATCCGCCATAAATGGCTGCGCGCTGGCTGCGCGCCCCTAGAGCTCGACCCTAGACACCGCGGCTTGCGCGTGCTGCGACGAGTCCTGAGATGACGACCGCCCCCCTCCCCCCCCCCCCCCCCCTCCCCGCATTGATGAAAGGAGCATGCAGCCGCCCAGTGGTGAACGTCTCGTGAGTCTAGAGTATGTAGCTATGTGAATCTCTTTAGGGTATACTGCATGGGGTACGAGAATCTGAGTATTTTCTTTGTTCCTCACAACAAGTCGTCACACAGCCATGTACACTGTAGTCTGTACTTGTGAGGTCCTCAACTCTCAGGTCTCAGCTCGAGGACCTCACTCTCTCGCTGTATGGCACTCGCCTCGATCGCCAAAGTCGCGTCACTCCACCGGTCCGCTATCCTCTCCCTCTGTCTCCCTTTCTTCGTCTCCACTCACACCACCATCTTATACTCCTGACTATCTTGCTGTCTGGCGCGTCTTCCCGGACAGTAGGCGTTTAAATGCAACAACAGCCAGAGATGGTAAGCCAGATGAGGGAGGATGTTGTGGCTAGACGCTAGTTCCACATTTCACAGACCTTGTTATTGAGACGAAAATACCTCCAGCCTACCTATGGCCTATGAGAGGTTTAGCGCGCTGGTCTATGTTGAGAGGTTGAGCGCAGGTGTGAGACCCTCGACTGCGACGTGCTTATGAGTATGTGCGTGCCGTCACGGCACACGCGAGTGGCAACAAAAATGTGCGAGGCTCTGGCGCTCTGCATGCCGCTATCGAGGGATTCTTACTACCTACCTGTCAAGATATATTGACATTCCTCTCCTGTCAAGATACTCCACAGGCACGCGTGTGATTTGATAGAGATTTTTAGTCGTGTCCGCTGTTGCTGCGTGGAGTCGTGCTGCTGGTTCCAACCAAACGTGGTGGTGTTCGTGGCGACGTCGTGACACGGGCGCGCGGCGCAGAATGCGTGTGGTGGTGACTTTGCGTCGCCGGCATCGTTCGGTCCGCCCGCGGCGCCGTGTGCGACGGCGGACGTTCACAGCGCGGGTGGGAACAGCGTTCCGACACGTGGCAAACCACCATGGTATTCGTCGAGTACGAGGCCGACCGCCTCTACGGCGCGCGACGGACCTTCGGCGCATCATCGCGTGCCGAAGGCTTCCTGTTCGGCGTACGGCCCGACGTGTGGCCTCTCGACGCCCCGATACTTCCGCTGGTGCTGCCCGACCTTCCCAATCTTGGCCCGCCGCCCAATCTCCGGAGCTCGCGACCGCAGGCACAAAATCAGACGATTTTCTACGGGACGCAGCCGCTCAAGACGTACAACCCTTCGCTCGCCGCGGCGCCGCGCGGCCTGTACCCACGCTGCGCCTTTGTCCTCGCGCTGCGCGTCGACGGCCTCCACCAGTGCTCGTCGTCGACGACGCCGTACAGGAGCGAGCAAACCTTGGCGGAGACCGACTGGTTCCAGGGCACGGCGATCGCCATGCTGGACGCGAGTCTGGCGATCTTGGGTTGGACCTGGCTCGTCAACTCGCCGCCCTATCAGATCGCCACGAAAGGGGCCAACCCGGCCGCCGTGCGCGCGGCACGATGCATGCAGCACGGCGCCTCGGACCATTCCTTCCTGCCCTCGTGGGCCAAGCAGACCTTTGACGCACGGATCTTCAACGTGGCCGGCGGGCTGGTGGTGACGTACGCGTGCCCGGCGTGCCTCTTCTCCCTCTCGCCGCTCCGCTTCAGCGCGCAGCCCACCGCCGACGGCGGCGTCTCTCAGCTGCGCGCCTGGGCACCCCACCGCATCACCTACCCGAGCGTGAAATGGACCAACGGGCGCAACCAGGTGCTCTTCACGTACCGCCCACCGCCGCGGCCGTCGGCGGCGCGCAACGTCAGCAGCGGTGCTGCCGGCGCGGCCGAGGAGCGCGACGTGCGCGAGCGTCTGATGATCCAGCCGCGCCTGGGCGTGATTGGCAGCCTGGGCCGGCCGCGCTTTGCCGTGCATGGGCGGCGTGTGTGCCGCACGCACGTGCCGCGCAACCCCACGCGGCCCTTCCCGCCGGTTCCGAGCGCGGCCAACTGCCACGGCGACTTTGGCCGCGACCCGGACTGCGGCACGTTCCCGGACGGCTCCACGATCGACGTCGTCCGCTTCGAGGGCGTGTGGGAGAAGCGGGCGAAGCTGCGGAACGACTCGCGCGCGCAGGTGGAGGCGTCGCTGCGCGCGAGCGGGCTCTATGGGGGGCTCTCGCTCACGAGCAACCTCGTCAAGGTGCGCTGGCGCGAGCAGGCGGGCGCCGACGGCGGCGGCGGCGGCGCGAGTGGTGGCGGCGCGGGCGGCGGCGGCTGGTTTGGCGGCGGCTTGCTTCGCAGCGGCGGTGCGGGCAGGGGCGCCGCGGCGGCCAACGGCACGGGCGCCGGGTGCGAGGTGTTGCTCGGCGTCGGGCACTTGCACCGCGGCGAGGGCACGCGCAACCGCATCCTCCACCGGCGCCGGGCCAACGGCCCCTCACCGTGGGAGCAGACGCAGTCGCGCGTGCGCCGGCGGCAGCCCTTTGCCTTTGGCTACCGTTACACGCACTTTTGGTACGTGCTCTCGGCGCGGTATCCCTTCGAGGTGCTCGGCGCGAGCGGCGAGTTCTGCCTCGCGAGCGCGCAGGACGCGGCCGACTGCGAGAGCATCCAGTTTGTCTCGGCGCTCGCCCACGCGACCCCCGAGGCCATGGCCGCGCACATGCCGCGCCAGGCCGCCGGCGCACGCGCGCTCCGACCGGTTCGCAAACGAGGCGTGTGGAACCTCGGCTCACAAAGCACGCCGCCGCCGCAGTCGAGCCGCGCGACGCTGATGCTGGCCTACGGTGTGAACGACTGCGAGGCGCGCGTCGGCTTTGTCGAGCTTGCGCGCGTCCTTCGCGCCGTGCGCCCGCTGGTGACCGGCGGCCGGATCTGCGCGTGAGATCGCGGTGAGACCCTCGGGCGCCGCGGGTATGGACGCGCGTGGGAGCGCACGGCGTCTGTTAGGTCGGTTAGGACTCTCTCAGATGACGATTGCGCCACGATCGTGGCAGTGGTCAGTCAGCCGAGCTCCGGCATCCATTCCTCCAAGCATCCTCCAAGTCAATGATTCTTGATTGTCCAGCTCCAATGTACTGGTCTACTCTCTGCGTACTCAGACTGGGCCGTACTAACTCCCGTAACCGAGTTTACCGGACACACGCAAGACGCAACACTGATCACCGCGCGCCCCCTGCCGCTCGCCCCCGGGGACCCCAAACGGAGCCCACACACTGCGCACACATCACGGATAGGCCGATGACTTTTAAAGGACTTGTCCTTTACAAAAGGACACCTTGATCTCGCGTTTTCGCTCCCATTGAGCTCTCTGCAAGCCTCTCCTGGGCATTGAGGTATGCTACCATGTCCACCTGACAGCCTCCAGGCGGCGGGGTCACGACCCAGCCCAAGCAACACATTCAAAACCGACCCGGAGACGTACCCGCAACCGCTTGTCCTTTACGCCCGCTAGTCCTCATCACTGTCTACAATCACCTGCCGCTTGCGTAGGGGGGGGGGCTGCAGCCTGGGAGGAGGGCGCTGCAGGCCGCTTGGCACCTTTGGACACGCGCCCAAGCACTCCCTTCACCATCTTCTTCACTATGAGCCCGCCCGGTTTTGAGCGTGCGTCCCAGTCGCTGCAGCGGCTCTGTCAGCGGACCAATCTTGCGGTAGCGGCGATCAACTGCTGCTGCTTGGCGTTGCGCCTTCGGGGAAGGATGTGGTCCTCCTCTGTCAGCTGGCTGTTGGTGGTGAAGATGCGTGGCATGTACTGCGGGAGGGTGCCATTGTTGTAGCGAGCGGCATTTGATGCGCTCGCTTGGCGGTGAGCTGGCTCAGCACGTCTTCATTCGAGAGCTCGCCGCGGCCGAGTGCGGCGTACGTCAGGTGGTAGTTGCGGGCGGGTTGATGACGCTCACGTCGGCCGGGGCACCACCCACTAGCTGCATGATCACCGGCTGGTCACTGATCACCGATCACCGGCCTTTGGAGAGTTTTCTAGGAGTTACTTATTCAGACGGTGATCGGTGATCAAGTTTCGGCGGCACGTAACGTCCAAAACAAGGCCACGACTGTCGTCCCCCGGCACCACCGGGCACGGGGAAGTCGCGAAGGGCAAGTGGAGTGCGGGAGGTACGACTGGGCCGGCGAGCGGGGGCGCGTGGCGCCCTTCATGAACCTGTCCTTTTAGTTAAGCACGCCGCCGCCGCAGTCGAGCCGCGCGACGCTGATGCTGGCCTACGGTGTGAACGACTGCGAGGCGCGCGTCGGCTTTCACGGATAGGCCGATGACTTTTAAAGGACTTGTCCTTTACAAAAGGACACCTTGATCTCGCGTTTTCGCTCCCATTGAGCTCTCTGCAAGCCTCTCCTGGGCATTGAGGTATGCTACCATGTCCACCTGACAGCCTCCAGGCGGCGGGGTCACGACCCAGCCCAAGCAACACATTCAAAACCGACCCGGAGACGTACCCGCAACCGCTTGTCCTTTACGCCCGCTAGTCCTCATCACTGTCTACAATCACCTGCCGCTTGCGTAGGGGGGGGGGCTGCAGCCTGGGAGGAGGGCGCTGCAGGAGACGTACCCGCAACCGCTTGTCCTTTACGCCCGCTAGTCCTCATCACTGTCTACAATCACCTGCCGCTTGCGTAGGGGGGGGGGCTGCAGCCTGGGAGGAGGGCGCTGCAGGCCGCTTGGCACCTTTGGACACGCGCCCAAGCACTCCCTTCACCATCTTCTTCACTATGAGCCCGCCCGGTTTTGAGCGTGCGTCCCAGTCGCTGCAGCGGCTCTGTCAGCGGACCAATCTTGCGGTAGCGGCGATCAACTGCTGCTGCTTGGCGTTGCGCCTTCGGGGAAGGATGTGGTCCTCCTCTGTCAGCTGGCTGTTGGTGGTGAAGATGCGTGGCATGTACTGCGGGAGGGTGCCATTGTTGTAGCGAGCGGCATTTGATGCGCTCGCTTGGCGGTGAGCTGGCTCAGCACGTCTTCATTCGAGAGCTCGCCGCGGCCGAGTGCGGCGTACGTCAGGTGGTAGTTGCGGGCGGGTTGATGACGCTCACGTCGGCCGGGGCACCACCCACTAGCTGCATGATCACCGGCTGGTCACTGATCACCGATCCGCTGCTGATGGACGCCGCCAACAACGGCCACGAGCGGCGCCCGTGCGGGACACGTCGATGACACACGTCCACGGCATGCCCCCACAGGTGATCGGGCACGACCTCGAGGCGATGTCTAGAATGAATGGCATTAATTGGCAAATTAATAATATAACTGATAGGTGATCGGGTACGACCTCGAGGCGATGTCGCACGCAATCGACGACGCGAGAGTCGACTCGGGCGCGCTGCAGCTGCCGGAGGCGGTGCTGGTGGGCAAGAAGAGCCGCGCGGAGAAGAGGAAGCAGAAGAAGAGCGGGCGGCGGCGGCGGCCGACCAAGAAGCCGCTGGGCGACACGAGCTCCGAGGCGAGCAGCACGGCGTACCAGGACTCTGTGTTGGGCGACGAGTCGGTGCTGGGGGAGGAGGAGCTCGAGCTCGACGGAGCGATCGACCTCGAGAGCCTCGACCGGGTGATGCTGGGAGGGGAGGACGGGATACCTGAGGAGGAGGAGGAGGAGGAGGAGCCCGGGGGGTGAGAGGGGGCGAGTGTGCCTGTGAGTGCTGAGAGCTGAGTCGAGAAAAGGGCGTGTATGGGGCGAGGCCAGGTCTCTTCTGGAACTTGGAGCACTTGGAGTGCAGTCAGTAACCGCGCATCCAGGGCCGGGGAGTGGAGTCAGTAAGCGCGCACGGGCCAGATGATGTCAGGCAAGGACAGACAATTTCTTATGTTGTAAAATTCTCCTTGCCAAATTCTTCTTGCTTATGACGATGCTCGCGTCTCGCGAACCTCTCACGATTGCACTCACGCACTAATTCATGAAGCTCATGCTGGCACTCCTCGTCTCGACGTCCGCCGCATTCGAGATTGCCAAAGCGAAGGCGCCGATGCTCAAGGCTGCGGCACCCGCTCCTGTCAAGGCCGATAAGGTCCTCGCACTTCGCGGGGGCGGCGCCCTCGGGCCAGTGAGCCCGGAGATCGGCATCTACATCTGGACGGCAGCGTGCGCCATGTACGTGCTGCAGATGATCGGCGCCGACCCCACTGTGCCTGATGCAACGATGAAATACTGGGGCATCGACGAGACGCCCGTCACAAAGGCTATTCTACAGTGGTTTGGCACGTCGATCGCAATCTGCGCCGGCATTGTCTTTTACTCGTTCAAGTTCCTCGGCACCCCAGCACTGGGGCTGTGCCAGGCGAGGGCTGTGCTAGCCGCTTGGCCTGAAGTGCCCGAACTTTTGAGAATGATACTGCTAGGCGGGGGCTGTGACGTGGGCTGTCGTCCTCGGCATGAACTGCTTCCAGTACAAGACCGGCGTGGTCAAGTTCACCGAGGCGTTCGCCTTCCAGGGCGCCTTGGTCGCCCTGTTCGCGTACCTCGGCTTTGCGTGAACGCAATGGGGAGGACGCTGCCTGACGCGTGTCCCCAGGGCGGGGCCGGGCGCGAGAGAGCTCAGGGACGCACGCGCACGCACCGCCAGACGGGGTCGCCGCGCACGAGCGAGCCGCGACGCCCCGCGAGGTATCCAAGTGGGCGAGTTTGGGTGATTCGTCGGCTCTAGCGCCACTAGATATCATATCACCCGCACAATTCAAAAGCGCGGAAATTTCTCTTTCTCGTCCCCGACTATTCTTGACCGCGGTGGCGGGTCGCGACCCGGTGGGAGCGCGCTTTACTCGTCCGCCCTGACGCCGCCGCCCTGCTGCTGCTCCGCGCCCCCGGCAGCGGCGGCACCGCGTCTCGCCTCGTACTCGCCGATCACTCGCTCGAGGGACACGCGGGTGTCCTTCTCCACCAGCCGCGAGATGAGTGCGCCTGTGGGTGCAATAGCGGCGTCAGCGACACCCTGCGCCAGCGGCACGCATCCCTCTCTCTCACCCCGCCGCGAGGCGCGCACCGCCAGCGTCCATCGCCGGCGCGGGGATCGGCCACCACGAGGGCAGAGGCATCGTGAGCTCGAACTCCGCCTCCGCCGCCAAGCACCGCTCCTGCTCACACAGCCCTCGCCTTCAGCAGCGCCTCTTCCGCAGCCTCTTCCGCAGCCTCTACCACAGGCGGCGCTCCTCGGCGCGCAGAGTGGTCGCGGCGGTGATGGTTGGCGTGACGCGCTCGGCGAGGCCTCGGAATGAGCCCTCAAACGCGTTGTCGACCCGCTCGGTCGTGTACCTCAACCCTCCGTCACTGAGCCGGTCCACGCGGATGAAGGCCGTCGGGCGGACAGTCAGGCCGGGCAGCCGCAATGGAGCGATGGCGGCGACGTAGCGGCCCGCCTCTCCCTCTCCTCCTCCTCCTCCTCCTTGCCTGGCTGCTGGCTCGCAGCTGACGACCGAGTCATCCGCACGCACGATGAAGTCGCTGTCCGCCAGGCTGTCGAGGAAAGCGGACACATCGGCTGCGCCGCCGCGGATGGGGGTAGACGCGGCCGCCTCCGCCCTCCACACCATCACTCGCCCGCCTAATCTCGGGCAGCCTCGGGTGAGCTCGGGTAATCTCACCCCTCCTCCACCACTAACCTCGGCCGCCGCCAGACGGAGCAGCGCCCATCACGGCAGTCGCGCGGTGCAGCCCCGCCCCGCCCGCCCGGCCCGCCGCCGCGCCGCGCGCCGCCCCGCCGCGCAGCCGCAGCAGGTCGCGCCACGCCGCCGAGTCCGGAGGAGGAGGAGCGCCTAAAGGAGGCTTCCGCATGCTCCGGAAGCTTCCTGCCACAGCCTCTAGGTGGTGGAGAGCAGCGCCATTCTGCGGCCAGGCGGCGCCAGAGAGGACGATGCCGCCGCCGAGGAGGACGTTGACGAGCAGCGCGGCGCAGGCGAGCAGGAAGGGCGCGCGGATGAGGACGAGGTTGAAGAGAGCCGCCTCCGGAGCCGCGTCGCCGTCGCTTCCGCTCGCGCCGGTGACGAGGAGAGGGAGCGAGCGCTTGGCCCAGCGCCAGGCAGACGATGCGACGGCGTCGTCCTCTGGCCCGCCGAGCCGCATGGAGGCGGCGCGACAAGCCGCGCGGGGCTGTCGCTCGCGGCGGTGGCGATGGCGGTGCCAGTGCCGGCGGCCGCACGCTAGAGCGTCAGCGTCAGTGAGAACTTCACCACAGGCGACGGACTGGAGGGACAGGCCGCGAGGAGCGAGTGCAAAGGCGGAGGCAGCGTGCAGCAGCAGCGCCATTTACGTGTGAGCGGTGGAGTCACTGTGCGATTTCGGGCAGGGGTGGCTGGAAGCGAGTGGGCGAGGCGACGAGAAAAAAGAAAAAGTGCGGATTAACGCGCGAGACGCCTAGCACGTCCTCCTTTCCGACCGCATCCCTTGTTGGCCTGTGCGGTTTTAAAGAAAGAAAGAAGATACGCAGACAGCACGTTTATCTTTCGCCCCAAAGCCAATGTCGAACCGTGTAACGGATAGCAGGCCGCGCAATCAGCGGGCGTCAGAGCGACGACGGCGTCCTCCGACGCCGCGGCGAGCCGGACGGGGACATTCATGCGACGCGGTCTTTCCGAACGCGGTTTTCCGAACGCTGTCATCGCTGTCGCCTCTAGATCTATGTGCATGAAGGTCCCCGGCCCCGCCTCCTTTCCCGTCATCGGCAGCACGTGGTACCTGCTGCGCCACGGCGGGCCGTCGCGCATGGTCCAAGTGCTCCAAAGGCTGTACGCAGACCACGGCAGCATTGTCCGACTGAGCGCTCCCGCACAGGAGGCCGTCATCATCTTTGACCCCGAAGTGTACATGGACGTCCACCGTGCGGGTGGCTCGTGTCCTTGGGGTGCAACCGATGCTCTCTGGCCCCTCCACGAGTACTTTCGTCTCCGCGTCGCGCCGCTGCCGAGCGGGCAGCCGATGGCGTTTGGCTCTGGCGATTGGATGCGGGTGCGGCGAGGCATGCAGAAGAGCTTCTTTGCTCCACGCGACGCCGCCGAGTACACCACCGCACTGAATGCCGTCGCGCGAGACGCAGCTCGGAAGCTCGGCGGCGGCGGCGGAAGTGCCGGCGGCGGGCTGCAGCACTTTTTGCAGCGGCTGAGCTTTGAGATGATCTGCTCGGCGCTGCTTGGGCGGCGGATGGGCGCGCTGGAGGGCGACGAGCCTCTGCTGGCCGCAACGGTGCGGTCCATGGAGTGCGCGAGCAGCATGCTGATGAGCCCGCTGCAGCACTGGCACGCCCGCTTGAACACGCCGACGTGGCGCGGTTGGGTGGCGAGTCTCGACTTTATGCTGCTGCGGTCGCACGAGCACGTCTCCGCCTGCATCTCTCACCCGACGCCCTCGTACGTAGACGCCCTGCTGCGGCGCGGGGAGCTGACTGCCGCGGAGATCTCTGCCAACGTGCCTGGGCTGATGATGGCGGGCTTCGAGACTGTCGCTGCCACGCTGCACTGGACCCTGCTGCACCTGGCCCTGCAGCCAGCGGCGCAAGAGAGACTGCACGCGGAGCTCAGCAGCGTGCTGGGGCGAGACGCCGACCCGTGTCGGGAAAGCGTGCAGCGGATGCCCTACCTGCGCGCGGTCCTGCGTGAGGTGCGGGACACACTTCGGACACAACTCCGCACATTTTAGACACCGCAGAGACAGAGAGCCGCCCCTTGCCGCCGCCGCCGCTGCCCGCGGCGCCAAGGCAACCATTTCCTTCCCAACGTCTGTCCTCTTGACGTCACGCCCCGAAACCGCCTCCCTCAGGTGCAGCGGCTCACCCCTACCGCCTTCTCCTTTCTGCGAAGGCTGCCGGACCCGCTGGAGGTGCAGCTCCCTTCGGGGGGCGCGGCGCGGCTGCCCTCGGGAGCGTGGCTCGCCTTCTCCCCCGTCGGACTCGCGACAGACCCGGCGCACGTCGAGGCCCCCACCGAGTTCCGGCCCGAGAGGTGGGTCGACGCCGCCGCCGTCCAAAGGGAGCGCGCCTGGCCGCTCTTCGACCACCCACTCATGCGCGATGGCTTCAGCCACGGCCCGCGGATGTGCCTCGGCGCGCGTATCGCCCAGCTCGAGCTGTGGCTGGCGGTGTCGCAAATCGTCAGGGCGCACCGGCTGAGAGTCGACGGCCCGCGGCACTACGCCGTCGCAAATCATGCGTCAACCTACCCCGATCCAGCACCGAGGATCGTGTTTGAGCCACGGTGAGTGAAAATAAAAAGCCGATGTAGTCAATGCTGCAAAATCTTTGTGCGTCCTCTTTTTTACATACACAAAGATTTACATCTCTTTTACAAGGAACACAAAGATGCCCGCGCCGGCCACTGTGCCCGGCCAATGTTTGCATTCGGTAATGATGTCACGACGCCACCGCCGACGTCTCCCAGTGAGATATGATGGAGAGGGAGGACGACACCGCCTCGGCGGCGTGCACCTACCTCGACGGTCAATGGTGTTTGTGAGCCCCCCCCCCCCCCCCCCAATGAACACACCACTGACGGAGGGCGAGACGATCGAGGGGTCCGTACCATGGGGAGACCCAGACCAAAAGTGTGGTGTAAGCAAAATTCGCAAAATTGATGTCACGCCGTCGTCCTCCGCCAGTTGGACTTCGCCGCGGCTCGCCAAGAAGCGCTTGAGCACCTCGCTTTGCTTTGAGCAGTCGCTTGTGCACCTCTGGTGCGCCTGCAGCCCGCCCCGCGACCCACCGCGAGATCTCGTCACACGCTCCTGCCCCGGTGTGATCTCCACTACGACGTGCCGCGCCTCTCTGACACATGCCAAGCATTCTCGCGCCTCGACATCGATTTACGCTCAACTCCTCGACCCCTCAGGACACCTGCGATGGATTTACGTGTGCTGGCGCTCGTGGCCAGCATCTCGCATGGCATCACAGCCTACTGTACCTGCCCTGCTAGCGCGCAGTACTGCCAGCGCGAGTACCTGGGCTCTGACACGTACTGCTACACGGGATCGCTGCGGGATTGGGGCGATTACTGCAACGGAGGCGAATGCACGCACGATTACGGCACTGAGATGTGCGTCGACAAACCGGCTCACTTCGACAAGGCCGCCGCGGGTACCACCAGCGTCTCTGGAGAGCGCTGCATGCTCAACCACGGCACCAGCCTCTGCGAGTGCGGCGGCGCACAAGACTCCGCAATCTGCGAACGGTGCGAAGGCTCCGCCTGCCAGTGCCAAGCGCCAGACTCGCCAGATTGCGGTGCCTGGGTCAACGCATGGTACGGAGGTCTTTGCAATGGAAAAGAGGAGCGAAATTGCAAGGGACTCACTGCGTCTGCAGCCGCCCTGTCCTCTACTGCCTACTCGGAAGAAGACAACCATATTTGGGGCGAGCCTCGCTTGGGCTTCCCGGGACTCGGAGACTGGATCCATGTTGGCGATGTCGAAACCGAGGTGCGTGTCAGAATCTACGTCAACGAGCCGCTTGGAATCCTTGGCATCGGGTTTCGAGGCACAGAGTCTTGGGACGAATGGTGGGTCAATGCGGACACGCTCTTGGACGACTGCAACATCTTCCTAAGCTCGGACTGCGGACGAATCCACGGTGGATTCCAGGGCGCGTTCCTGGACGACGCATTCAAGCAGGAGATGAATACAAAGATCGACTTTGCAGTTACAACATTTGCGATTCAAAAGATCCTTGTCACTGGCCACAGCCTTGGCGGCGCTCTGGCGACGGTCGGCGCCTACTACTTGGCCAAGCAGAACCCTGGTTGGGGATCCGCGATGCAGGTCGTCACGTTTGGATCCCCGCGCGTGGGAGATGCAGCTTTCGTCGATGCCTACCGGCTTGTCGTACCGTATACGATCGCATACGCCGGCAGTTGCTCCTCCAGCGCATCTTCCACTGGCCTTGCCTACGCTGCCGGAGCTAGTGCCGGAGCTCTCCTTGGTCTTGCCCTTGGCCCCCTTGCCTCGATTGCAACAACTAGTGCCGCAACCACCGTTGCCAGAGCAGGGCGGGATGCTGTCACCCTTCCCGCCTGCGAGACCAGGCGGCTATAAGCACGTATATGAGACGTGGGAGACGGCGGATGACCATAACGGGGACTACACTTTTGCTGCGGGTTGCCACTTAATGGACCCCGTCTACATCCCGCACGTGATGAAGAAGATGCAGGAAGAGATCGCCATTTCGCCTTGTGCTTCCGTGGACCTCGGCACATGGACCTTAAAGAGTCTGCCGCCAGCGTCACCGCCGGCGCCACCGCCGCCACCTGGCCCCCCATGCACCTGCCCATCGGACGCGAGCGAATGCCTCTACTCCAATTACTACGATGGAAACTATTGCTACACGTCTAGCTCGGACATCACTGGTTACTACTGCAACGGTGGGGAATGCACGGCTTCCGGCACAGCCCCATGCACCTGCCCGCCAAGCGCGCACGAATGCCTCTACTCCGATTTCTGGGAGGGAAACTACTGCTACACGTCGAGCTCGAACATCACTAGCAACTACTGCAACGGGGGCCAGTGCACCGCCTCCGGCATAGCCCCGCTTGCATCGCCCTCACCGCCGTCACTGCCGCCGCCGCTGCCTCCGCCGCCCCTTCCACCGTTCCCTCCGTCGCCTCCCCCGTGCGTCGACACGGACGGCAACGCGACGGACTCTTACGGCGACGGATGCGCCCTTTACATCACGAGCTGGTGCGGTGGCTTCGACGATGAAGACTTTTCGTCGAGCGGCATGTGCTGTATCTGCGGCGGTGGCTTTGCGCCACCTTCCCTACCACCCTCGCCGTCGCCGCCCTCCTCACCCCCCGCCGCGCCATGCTCGGATTACTTATCTGTCATACCGGGTTCTCAGGGCATTGCCGAGTGCGGCGCCAGCGGCTGCTCGTGCATCGACGTTGCCAGCGATTTCCTCGGTTTCGGCAACATCTCGGCCTACTGCTTTGACGAGTACTATGGTGAAGCGATACGCACGTACTGTCCCAGTACGTGCCTCGTTTGCTTGCCGGTAGCTCCGCCGCCCTCGTCGCCGCCACCCTCTGCCTCGCCCTCGTCGCCGCCACCCTCCGCCTCGCCGTCGCCGCCGCCGCCCTCGACATCGCCCTCGTCGCCACCGCCCTCTGCCTCGCCCTCGTCGCCGCCGCCCTCTGCCTCGCCCTCGCCGCCGCCGCCCTCGACATCGCCCTCGTCGCCACCGCCCTCTGCCTCGCCCTCGTCGCCGCCGCCCTCCGCCTCGCCCTCGCCGCCGCCACCCTTGGCATCGCCCTCGCCGCTGTCGCCTTCTACGTCCCCGTCGCCGCCACCGTCGGCGTCTCCGTCGCCGCCTCCCGCTGTGTCGCCGCCACAGTCAGGAGAGCCAGGCTCGTTCCGGGTCGTCGCCTCCTTCACGGCAAGCGGCGAGGTGGGCGACTTTGATGAGGCCACCAAGAGGAACATCCTCTCAAAGCTGGCCCAGCTGGCCGGCTTTGCATCCGCACCTCTCGGTTCGACCCTCGAAGTCACCGCCGGAAGCGTCATTATCGTCGCCAAGTTTCCGGTGGTCACGCAGTCGGAAGCCAGCGCGGCGCAAAGCAGCCTCACTCAATCCTCCGTGGCCGCTGGCCAGGATTCCTTCGAAGCGCAGATTGGACCTATTCTTGCTACAGTGGGTGCCTCCGTCAACGATGCCGTCGTGGTCGAGGTCGAAGAAGACCCGAAGCCAACTAGCAGCGGCTCCCCTGTGGTCGCCATTGCCGTAGCAGCGGCTGGGGTGGCCGTCGTGGCTGCCCTCGGCGGTGGCTTCTACTACAAGAAGAAGCGACGCGCTCACGCGCCATCGAACTCGGCGATGACCAAGATTGAGCATGGTAGCAAACCTGAACCGGTGAATGACGCGGACGCCGAAGCGCCGTAGCGCCGATCAATCTGGCCTGATCTCAAACAAGCTGCTCGACCAAACGCGATGAAAATGTAGCGGCCCGCTAGTTAATTATCCATGCGCTCAGGGCTTGAGCTTTGTTGCCTGTTCATGACCCGCTCGCCGAGAAGATGCTGTACTCGAAGGTTCCCGCCACCCACCTCCTTTGTTGACTATTCATCACGCTCGCCCATCTTGGACACGCTGATGGCGCACTTGGGGCGGGGACCGACGATCATTCTGGCCTGATCTCACGGCTCAAGTGAATTATCTGTGCGCTTTGGGCTGGAGTTCTTGTATGACTGTTCATGACGCTCGCCGAGAGAATGCACTGTACTACACTCGGGCGCCCAGCCCTCACATCGATACCCTCTCCGGCTCTCGCGCCAGCTTATTGTTGTTTGTTGACTATGTTACGATACTGGATCCAGAGGTACGTATATCTCATGACATGATTTGTACGTATCATAATGACATTTAAAATCATTGATACATGGTCACCGCCCACAAAAAGAGCTTAGGGGCGAGCGGGGCGAGTCGTAGTGTGTCAAGCGCGGCCACGCCCCTAGGAGCTTCCCTACGAGCAGCTCCTTCCCCGTCGCGCATCGCTCACGGTTGGCGGGGCGGAGCGCGGCGGCGTACACGGCAAGCGAGGCGGAGATCGCCATTGCACCGGCAAAAGATACACCGAGCGGGTAGGCGTCGGGGCTCTCGACTGCGCGCAGCAGCAGGCAGCCCAGCCCGACGACGAGGGCGTTGGTGACAAGCTGCGCGCGGGCGGCCGCCCAGAAGTGGCGGCCCTGCCGGGGGATGACGAGCAGGAAGCGAACAACGCTACCGAGGAGCGAGCAGAGGAGCATCGCCCTGCGGATGGCCGTCGCCGCACCACTCTCCCCAATGTCAGCGATGGCGCCGAAGCGCCGGCCGGAGAAGAGCACGCGAGCAGCCACCATCACCACGCCCACCGCGTGAATCAGTGAGAGGCACCGCGGCGGAGGCGCGCCGGGGATGAAGGCGGCGAGGAGCGCGAGGCCCGGGAGATGAAGCAGGCACACCGCGGCGGCTCGACGGTCGTCCGGAGCGGGTGTGTGGTGGGCACTGGCACCGATGTCACTCCCGTGCGGCTCTGTCGCGCTGCCATTCCACGGCGTTGCGGCGCTGCTGTCCCATGGCTCCTGCGAAAGCGCGCGCCCGAGACCCGCGACGCCGAAGTACTCGAGGAACGTGTCGTGCTGCTTCGGGTCGGGTAGCTTCAGGGGCGGCGCCACCGCAAGGGCGACGACGCTCACAAGCATCACCGCCGCAGCGAGTAGCGCCTCGACGACCCCCAGCGGCAGCAGCGCGTGGCAGCCGCGGCGGCGCGCTTGCGGAGAGGGGGGCGATGCCGGTGGCGACACGAGCAAGTGGCCCAGCTCGCTGTCGGCGGCGACGGCGGCCACAAGCTCAGCTAGCTCGTCGTCGAAGCAAGCGTCTCCCAAGGAGGCGCTGCCGCCGTCTGTCAGCCAGCCCCGTTCCTCTCCGCACTCGCCTCGGCCTCGCTCTGCACGCGGCCGCGCTGTGGCCACAGCCGCGGCCGCTGGGCTGTGGCACCTCGGCGAGGCTCCCACTCCGCCACCCGAGGAGGCGGCAGGTTCAGCCGCCGGTGTGAACAGGCAAGGGCTGCTTGCCTCCACGCCGCCGAGCGGAGGCGCGGGTGTAGGCAGTGCCGGAATGAGCGGCGCCGGCACGGGCGGTGTCGGCGCGGGCAGTGTCGGAGGGGGAGCGATGCGACGCGGCGACGACTGGAGCGGCAGCTGGTCGGGCGGCAAGTACGTGACAACCGGCTGGAGGGTCTTTCCCACGCGAAATGCGACAAAGCTCCCTGGTGGAAGAGATAGCGAGGCGAGGCCGGTGAGCTCCTCGTGGATCTCATCGCGGAGGATGACGAGCTTAGGGCCCTTGCACATGGCGGTCTGATTGACGACACGGTGTTCAGGCCACGCCGCATTTCTGCTGTTCCACGCCCCGCCTGCGTGCTGGTTTGCGAGCACGGCCTCGCCCACCGGTGAACCTGTCTCTCTGCACCCCGGTTTAGTGTGTAGTAGGAAGTTTACAAGAAAGCTCCCTCGCACGACACCAACCGAAGAAATCACGACTCTCACAGTGATTTGGGCTCTCGGCAGCTTGTCAGCGCGGGCCCTCAGCCGAAGCTGGGGCCGGTCCCGTAGCCGAGAGAGCCCGCCTCGATGAGTTCTTTTGTGTGTGTGTGTGTTTGTGTGTGTGTCATCATCTGTCTAGCGTCCACCCATACCGCGTTGGTGTCCAGTCCGAGCCTGGCTGTTCTTCACCTTACTACCTACCTACCTGTGTGTGTGTGTGTGTGTGTGTGTGTGTGTGTGTGTGTGTGTGTGTGTGTGTGTGTCGCTCCCCCGCGGCGGCTTTGTGCGCGCTTCACTCTCGCACCGCACGTCCCACTCTCGCCCCCACGCGCCGGCTCGCAGGGCAGGCCAGCGGACTCGCGGGGCGACTCGCAGGGCGCGCCACCGCACGCCATCGACGGCCCTCCAGCGGGCGACACGGCATCGACGACGACTACGCCTCCGACGGGCGGCAACACTGCACCCGCTTAGCAGGGCTGCTCGCGGGGCACTGGTGCGCTGCTCGACGCGCCGCGACCGGTGACGGCCTCAGGGCGGGGAGGCGAGCCGGCTTGGCGGTACAGAGCGGGCTCGGCGGGATCCGCAACTAGGGGGCGAACCCAACCGTGCGGAGAGAAAACCGTGCCCGCATCGAGCCACGAGCCCAGAAGACCACGCCTCGTGCACTCGGCTCGTCGGAGGGAAACCGGGATGGCTGCGGTGGCGGGGCTGTTAGGACCACTCACTCTGCGAGCGCGTCGGCTGTGTCACATCGTGCTGCACCACAGGAGATCGCAACGCGCCCACTCACCCACCGTTCGGTGCACTGCTTCGTTTAACGTGTCTTTGATAGCGCGGCCCACACGCTACAACCGGGCTTGACGTAACCGGGGGCCAACACTCGCCGTCGACCTCTCCTCCGAGCACACACGTCTCGCAAAAGAGAGAGACGGGGGGCGCGACTGGGGCGCGCCGAGAGAGAGGGGGCGAGAGCGAGAGAGAGCCTCGGCACACACACACGTCTCGCAAAAGAGAGAGACGGGGGCGGGACTGGGCCGCGCCGAGAGAGAGGGGGCGAGAGAGAGAGAGAGAGAGAGAGCTGGGCGGTCTACGGCCCCTCCCCCTTTTTCTGCTTCTTAGCAGCAGAAGCAGAAGCAGCGTCCAGGCGGCGCCGCGCGTCCAGGCGGCGGCGCGCTTCCTCGACCTTGTCATAGTTGTTGCCGGGCGGGTCGGGGCGGACGGGCCTCGCCGCCCGCGGGTGCGCCTCGCCGCGGGCCATGTGCCCGCCACGCCGTGCGCTGAAGAGCGGACGGTACCCGGCCCGTGCCAGGTCGACGGGCCGGGGGACGCCGCTGCGGTACACGAACGCCGCCTGCTGCTCGTCGGAGCGGGCGGTGGCCTCGGCGCGCGCGGCGAGCTCGGCCTCGACGGAGGCCTGCTCCTTGAGCATCTGCCGCCACTCGCGGGGATTCCAGCCGGTGCGCCGCCCCGCCCCGCGCGGGGCGGAGCTCGTGTCCGCGGCGGCCGGCAGCGGCACGGCCGTGAGCTGCCCCGACGCGCCCTCGAGCGGTTCGCGGCACATCGGGCAGGTTGCCTCGACTGGCTGCTCGAGCCAGCCGGCGATGCACCCGCGGCAAAACACGTGCAGGCAGGTGGTGGCGACCGGCTCAGAGCCGGCGTCGATCGGCTCGATGCAAATGGGGCAAGTCGCGACAAGCTCGTCCGCGGCGGCGGCGGGGGCGTCGGCCGGGGCCGCGAGCGCGCGCGCGCGGCAGAGGGCGGCCTCCTCGGCGGTGGCGAAGCAGCCGAGGTGGATCTCGAGTCCGTTGCGCGCATAAGAGGCGCGGAAGCGGAAGGGCAGCCGCGCTCGCATTCCCGTTCCCGCAGAGGAGTAGACGCCCAGGAAGCGCGTGCCCGAGGAGCCGGACGCGGGCAGCACCAGCCCCTCCTCCGCCGCCGCCGCCAGCGCAGCAGCAGCAGTCATCGGCGGCAGCGCCTCTGCGCACTTGGCCTCCGCCGCCGCCCGGCCCTCGGGCGAGCGGGCGTAGCAGAGCGCGGCAGCCTCAGCTGACGCGAAGTAGCCGAGGTTCGCGATCTTGAGGCCGCGCCGCACCTTAACCACCCAAGGCAGTCTGAAGGCCGGAGGCGTTGGGTAGACGCACACAAAGCCAGAGCCGCCAGAGCCGCCCGTCAGCAGCTCCAGCCCATCATCGGCGGCCGCCGCTCTCGCCTGGGCGCTCGTCATGTCCTGATCCTCCTGCAGCGCCTTCGCCTTGGCGAGCTTGGCCGCATCTTCCAGCCCCTCGGGCGAGAGCGCGTAGCAGTACGCGGCTTCCTCCGGCGTCGCGAAGCGGCCAAGGGTCGTCTTCACGTCTTTGCGGGAGACCACGACAACGTAGCGCCGCGTAGGGTCCTTGGTGAGCTGGTATCGGACGCACTTGTACCCGGTCTTGGTGCCGCCCTTTATGAGTTCGACGGAGGGCTGCGGCTTCAGCATGATGTCAAGGCGGATCTTCTTTGTTGCAACAAAATTGCCGCGTAAATTTGCCATCATTTCTTTTTGGGGGGGGGGGGGGGGGCGGTGCAAAAGCTCACAGGCCGCCAACGGGTCGGATTTAAGTGTGGTGTTGGATATGCCTGTCTATTTATTTATCGCCAGAGGCCGTGCTTGGAGGCGGCAATTGCCGCTGCCCCAGAACACAAGGTCGCAGCACCTGTCGGATATCATCAGCGTCGCCGCTGCGACCTACGGCTAGCAGACAGGCTCGACACAGGTGCGAACTGGCAAAAAAGAATTTTACGAGCAGAGGGCACGACACGATTCACGCGACAGGTGAGGCGCGGGCGACGGCTTCCTGGAAGCCGTCGCCCGCACCACAG